AATCCAACAAGACTTCCCGTATGCTTAGAGAAGTTCAGTCTGCCACTGAGCTCAATATTAATTTATTTTCATATATTAACACTTTAATTCTTGAAAATGGAACTTACGGAGAAGCAAAGGCGTTAAGGAGTTTATATGCTGTGCTCTTTCAACTGCAAGAGTTTTCTCGAACGAGGAGCCTCTTGCAGTCGAGAGAGCATAGCGTGCAAGCGTGGCGCAGGTACCAACACATCCGTGACGCGGTGGCGGTGAAATTCATAAAAGTTCTGAGCTCTTGCCATGGTTTCCGAGTCGCTGTGTGGTACCCTGTGGGGATACAAACCAAGATACCTTACTCACAAACGGGATTTGTCAAAAGTAATCACAGAGCGTTCTAATCATCATTGGCTCAAAAAAAAGCAACGAGCGTATTCGAGTGTGAAATAAGAATCTGCCATAAATTGCGGTACCAGGAGGGAAAAGAATTCGCCCCACATAAGACTAAGACGGTTCCTGCTCTTTGATCCAACCCATTCTTTTCTTGAGGTTATTTGATTGAAGGCACATTTTGCGAATAAATAATTGTGGGTATTGCGCCTGAAAATGAAAGTAATCACGGTATTGTGGGTCGGCGACAATTGAACAAGGTAAATAAAACTGCTGAAGATTTACAAACCCACCGCGCACAAATCCGATAGATCCCTTCCCCCTACCTACTTTTTAGTTGCTTACCCTTTCATCTTGATACGGTGCAAAACAGTAAAGCGGCGGGGCAACCAAGGAGAAAGTGAGGGCAGAGAAAGATTGCCGCCCATACGATTAGCGCGCAATGTGGGGATGTGTAGATTTTTTAACGAGATTTTGATGAGATTAACTTCTTAACGGAACCTTCTGGGAAGACTCAACGACCTCTGCCGCTTTTCCAGAAGGATTTGCGCTTTCAAACGCATTAACAAGCTCTGAAGGTCACAAATTGGATGACGTGTACCCAAACGCTCGTACCTGGCAATGGTTGACATGTGCTGATTAAGATCGCATGAAGGATAAACGATAGCCGCATTTTTCCCTCCCATCTCAAGCGATACCTTTTTATTTAGCCGTGCACCTGTTTCGGCAATTTTCTTTCCAACGACAGTACCTAAAAAATAACATTTTATGTGCAGAATGCAGAAAAAATATTGCATGTTCTTCCAAAGTCTAATTTGATGGATGGATCGGAAAGGGTATACGACTTACAGTTGCTAGAAAAGGGCTATAAGACTGTTGGAGATAAATCTACAAAGTATATTATCATTTTGAAGTATTGTGCAAGTAAAAAAAAACGTGTTTTGAAGCCGCCCTTGGTTAAGATTAGACCCGAAGACTAACTAACTGTTATAACTACACCAAATCTGTGGAACGATTCTCTGAACGTAGTTGTGAAGCGAAATAGTGCAGTGGCAGCTGCCCGGGCCGACGAACAATAGGTCGTGAGATCGATTTCTTGGCGAGTTGTCAAGTTTTGCTTCTTTAGAACATTGTTCAAGGAATCTCATTCATGCTAAATTGCCATCCCGACCAAGCGACCCGCCATCCTCTACAATGATAGAAGCTCGCTAACCCGAGCTCGAAGCACTAATATTTTCGCGACGAGATCATTATGCAAATGGCCGTCTCTAGGTAGACTATTCTGTAGCCAGGTGCCCTAATAGCGCACACGTTGTCAGATGCACTTTTGTGCCTGAACAAGAACACAATAATAGTACGAAGTTATACGATGTTCAGCGTGTCAGACTACCCCTTCCGAGGGCTTTTGGTCCAAATTTAAAACTTTGACCTAAAGTTGAAAATCTGGGCACACACGACCGAATGGAAACGGCAAATAACGCGCATAGTGTTCGAAGCTCTTCGCCAGCTCCACCCATTTGCAAAATAGGCAGTCGCTGATGATTCAACATGAATGAATAAGATGCCTTTAAACAATGTTCTCTAAAACACAAATAAGATAGCAAAAAGCATAGACAACTCGCCAAGAGAGTCGATCTCACGACCTACTGTTCGTCGGCCTCGGGCCGCTGCCACTGCACTATTTCGCTTAACTACGTTCAGAGAATCGTTCCGCAGATTTGGAGAGCAGATTCGAGATCAGCGTCCAAAAACACATCTAGTGGTGTATGTCTCGTTACAAATGGCCACTTCGACCTGGTATCCTTCCCTTGTAAGATCACGCTAGTTGGCTACCGCAATTCATCGTGTAAACATAATGGCACCTTGACGCATTCCAGCGAAGGACAAGAAGTGCAATGTTCGAAATTTTCCTGATGAACTGAAATTGAAAATTTTCCAGGATTGTCATTGGAGCAATAAATGCTTATTGAAAACGTGACAGCTTGTGCTACATGGGGAATTTCTCGAAATCCGGTAAATTTCAGATGTTTTACCACTAATTTCAGTGACTTTTATAAAGAAAGAACCTTACACTTCCGAAGCTCATTCTTTCATGCAGGAAGTTTGTTCTGGGGAAAGCTATGGCTGGTGAAAGAGTGAAACTTTCAAAGAAGCTTTCGCTTCTCTTCGTTCGAGCGAATGCCTGCGACAGAAATTTTATTTTCCTTTGAGCATGATTGTTAGATCTGAACAGATGAACGAAATGCCACCGTCGTCACCTATTAGCCTGTGGTGCGACAATTCTGACCATTCTAAAATTCAAGGTCAAAAAGAGGGAGTTTCCAGGAACGTATGTATTCACCTCGCTGTGAAGATAAGGAGAATTCTATTAAGAAATCGGGTCTCGCCCACATTGAGCACACGCAGTAGCCTGCTGAAGTCCACTAAATGGTACCAACTCGCATGAGGATGAAAGCACTGAATTTGCCGGCTGCTTGCATTCGTAAATTGCCTAACAGGCCCAATATGAACTATCAAGTAACCACTGAATCAAATGCGTAGCGCATCTTTGGAAAAAAAGTCTGATAAACGCCAAGCGATAAATTTGATGATTATACTGCACTTTGCTCGAAAGCTATCGTTCTTGGAAACTTACTTCCAGTAAAACTGATCAGAGGAACGTCGGGGTGGTCGACAAGAGCTTGGCCTGCCGACGAGCCCTTTCCTATTACCATATTCACCACTCCAGCAGGGAAGCCTGAACATTTCTTAGAGAGCCACCATAGAGCTGGTCTTGTAAAAGCTAGTACCTGCTTGCTGAAACGCATGCATTAGAACCCAAGCGGTAACACTTGTCAGTTCACTTGGTTTGCACACAACCGTATTACCAGTTGCCAACGCAGGAGCTAGTTTGAAAGAAAGCTAAACATCTGTGGTTATCAGCTTCACAATGTAGTAAATAATTCAAAAGCACATTCGACGATCGGAAGATGATCTGTTTCACTCAAAAATATAACGATATGTTATGTGAAGGAAACCAGCGGGGAAAGAGAAAAAGAGCCGAGGAGAGAAAGCAGACGATAGAGCATGGCGACAGGAGAGACGCAGACACCGCGAATTGCGGACCGGTTCATTGCCAGCAACAGCTGCGCCGATCCAGCTCATATGACTACAGTAGCTCTCTAGCCTAGCAGAAATAGCATAATTTCCATCTCTGTGAACAGCTTTATTCTAATCACGGTGAACATAATTTATCCAGCTTAATCGTGGAATGTGCCTTTGAAAAGTGAATTTTGCAACGTCAGCAACAGAACTGACCAAGTATAGAGGAAGGTTCCATGGACTGATTAGACCTGCGACTCCAACAGGATCGTGTTTCACATAGTTGACAGCACGGACAGGTTCATCGATTACGGTGGACCTGTGAACGGATAAAAATAGTCGGTATTCGTAACAGGGAATTCGAAAATGATTATGGATATAGTATAGCAGCCACGTGAAAATATTTTTTCTCAGTACATAACTACCAGATCTTGTAACGACAATTTCACTTCGGCATTGTTGGGGAAGCGCAACCAACAACATAATCTACTCGGAAAGGACGTTTCTTAAGAAAAAAATCACTGCTCATTACTGTTTTACAAATGTGGCACAGAATAATGCTGTGCATTACAAGGATGTCTTTGCAAATGATCTTCGGCCACCTCCACAAGATGTAGTACTCAGCAACATTTTGCTTGATGTAAACATCAACATGCTATCTAGTAGAAATGAAACAGAATTAAAGTTGTGTTGCAGTAAACCAAGTGTCTTTTTTTCGGAACATGAAGCGACACGTTGTCCAATCAGCTGTGAGCTGTTTATTTTATGGTACATTCTTACACTCACACACAATTTGCTCTCTTTATCGTCTACGGAATTTTGAAGAGAACATCGCTTTTCACAGAAAGTGGAATATTTGATCAGGTGACAAACTGATTGGATATGAGCTAATTAAAGGCAAGGCTCAAGATTGCATTGATAGGGTCATCTCACTAGAACATGAAAATAGGGATAAGAATAGGATCGCGACTATGAAAAAAAATGTAAAGATATAATGTCAGAAAACCGAAATTCAAGATGCACACGTGACACGTAGGAGTGATCAAGAGCAGGTGTATTCCGACGAAAGTAAAAAGAACCCATCGAGGGACGTAGCACATCAACATTAGAATATAACAAGATTTCAGAGCCTAGTACAATCCTTCTGGTACCCATGGAATGCTCTCAGCTGGCGCCGAACTGCCCGCACTGCGAGTGACGCACTTATTGAGTCAGCGGCGGCGACATAGAGCAAAGCGGCCCCATATGGTTGTCCCCTAAGAGTTGCCGTCGCGGCGAACGAAGAAACCCAGACCGCAAAGACAAGTCGCCAGCGTGCACTGTAGCGTTAGCTGTCAAATAATAAGAAGCCACTACAGTGCTACATCTCTCCTCTCTTCGACTGTCGCCGCAGTGTACATCACTGGCGAACAATTCTCTCTCTTTCCCTCCTCCTTCTGGCCGAGCAGGTCCAATGCTAAACCCAGGCCTTGTGACTGCACGTTTAAAGGCGCGAAAGTGCCGCGACACTGCAATGACGCACTCTAAGCACTTTATATACTGGCCTGACAGAAAATTCAATGAGGCTGTGTCGTCCCTTGCCTAGTATACTTCTCAACACTTTATAAGCCATTTTGTTTCTACATACTCTAACCATGGTTCCTTTCAAAGCCATTTCTTACGAACGGTTATATCGTCTACTCTGGTTCAACTATCCGTAACGTCTTTTCTCGCCCAATGCTCTCATCGACCTTTTAAAGGTCACCCAGACTCCTTTGTCGAAAAATCATGAATATATATTAGGTTGTCCTGAAAGTCTTTGCCCATTGTTAAGTGTATGGTGTAAAGTCTCCAGGGATAATTTTTGAACATCCATTGTAAAACGTATGTAAACCCCAGACGGTGATCTCTCCAGAGCGTCTCTGCTGTTGTATTTCGCAACTCTGATTTTGAAACCCAGAAACGCGTCAAGAAGAAGCGATGCGGCAAGAGCCTTACGTCTTGCGATGGAGCTTCAGAGTGTCTTTCACGACATGGCAAACATTTGGTTGCCGATGTCCAGAAACTCAAGAAAAAAGCCCAAAGTCGGTTGGCTTGTTACCCTGAGTGACGAGTGTCTTCTGGAAACAGTCTCTGGTGCAATGCACACTAACTGACACAGCTTTACTGCAGTCATCATAACACAATAGCCATTCCTCAATAGCTCCTCAAAAAGAAAAAATTATGGAAAAAGGGGATTTCGTGATCTGGGTGACAACCGCCATCAGAAGCCTTCAGATTTTGCATGAACATTTTGATTTACCGGCTGTATCTTGTTTGACCCGACTACTTTGTTGGTGGTAGCAAGGAGTGGGTTCCTCAAGTAAACCACACCCGCGAGCGCCACTGGCTCAGACGCGTAGAACCAGAGATTCCGACGTCCACTCCAGCACTGCAACTTGAGAGGCAACTTTCAGAGTTGGTAAAGCTGCAAGCGATCCGTTTGCCGACAGCTCCTACCAACGAACTTCACTGCTGTTGTAGTTCGATAATGTGGGCAAGCGGATGGGATCTCCGCACTATGCGTAGAAAACATTACAAAGATCACTTCATCCGAGCAGCGATCGTCAAGGAATTTTGAAGAAGGTCCAGCAAAAGTCTCCAAGCCCCTCATGGGATGTTCTGTCCCGCCATTTGTGTTCAGCAGATCCGGCCCCAACAGAATACCGTCTGCTTCTGTTGCTGCTGATTCAACTAAAAGAGGGAGAGCTTATGTTCCGGACTACTCGAAAACGGACTTCCTCCAGTTTTTTGCCTTGAAAGCTCAGGACTTCTAGGCAAACGGCATCCACAAGTCACCTGCTGAAAGGCAATATGTTGACGATTACGATGGGGCATATGACTGTAAATTGCTGACTGGGCTAAAGAAGAAAAGTGGATTTGAAAAAAAATCGACAAATGGGCAAAGACTTTCAGGACAACCTAATATTTCAGCCATAAATCACTGGCTTGAGACCCATTCATCCACGATAAGAATGAAAAGAACAGAAAAATTGCATTTGTTTTGGTAAAAAAAATTCGAAAACCGAAAGGGCTGCTACGCGTTCAAAGTACCGCCGGACATCTGTCACAAATGCTGGCGACGGGGATGCTTCCACTTGGTTCTTGGAGTGCCTTCACTAGAAACTCTTTCTGGCCTTTTGACTTATTGCATTCACATCTCACACTTCTACTCCATCCTATTCTATCGATCGATTTGTCTCTACTCTCCGAAATCGCGCGCTTTAACCCGATTCTTTCATTGCGTCGCCTGATACGTAGCCGCCCCAAGGCGACTTCTTTCCATGCCCCGCCC